GTGGGAAGTTCTCTCCAAGCTGCCCTTTCCCCATGGAAAATGTGGGAACAAACGGAGTTTTAGGGGGGCTCGAACCCCCCTAAAAAAGAGGGTGGGCTCAGAAGGTGTGGGGTGTGTTGGGGGGGAGGGGGGGGAAGGGATTTCAGTGCCAGGGAAATTTGACTCCCAGATCCCGCTGATGACTCAGGGACACCCCCGGGGGTGGCAGCGGGGCCTGGAGCCCAAATTTTTGGGGATGGAATTCCAGCCGAAATTTGGGCTGGAAGTGCTGAGGGGGGGCCGGGAATCCACGCGGGTGGGTGGGTGGGTGGGGACGGTGGAGGGTGGAGACCTTTTTTTGGGGTAAAACCGGGCGCTTCTGGTGCTTCCACCTGCGGCTCTTCCCCTTTCCCTGCTTTCCTGGGGGGGGGAATTTGGAGCCTGGAATCCAATCCCTGGGAGCAGCGAGGGAGTTTTGTGGCGACTTTTCCTGTTCTTTCCCGGCTTCCTCTGGGATTTTGGAGCCCGGCGAGGAGGAAGGGGATTATCCAGCCCCTCTCCCTCGTCCCTTCCTGCTGGAATAGTTGCCATTGTTTGCTCCTTGGGGGGGGGCAGGAACGCAGGATTCGATCCCGGGATTTTCCACCTCGCTCCCTCCTCCACGCGTGTTTTCTCCCCTTCCTGCTTCGATTTATGCCCCCCCAAAACCCGCCGGGATCGGTGGGTGCCTCTGGAATGAGCTGGGAATTCCGGGCGGGAGGGAGGGAGTTCATTGTCCCCCCTCAGGGCCCCTCCCCGGGGCCCGCAGACAAAAGAATTGCTGGGAAAACGCCTCCAAAAAACACACACACACACCAAAAAAAAACACCGGGATTTGGGAGCGGGGCCTTTTGGAAGAGGTGTGGAACCATTCCCCAATTCCTGCCCGAGGGATCCCGGCGGGAGGGAGGGAGAGGAGTTTGTTCGACAACATCAGCAACAGCAGCTCAGCAGCCTCGGGCTTAAAATAGGGTTTAAAATAGGGTTTAAAATAGGGCTTAAAATAGGGTTTAAAATAGGGCTTAAAATAGGGCTGTCAAGTGACTCCAAACTCAGCTCCGGGGTGAAAATCCCACTTTTTTTTTTTTCATCCCAGCCTTGTGGGGGCTTTTCCCAAAACAGCCCCTTTGGAGCCGTGGGAGGCCCCAAAACTCCTTTTTTTGGTTATTGTTGGGTTTTTTTTGTTTTTTTTTTTTTTTTTTTTTTAACCTGGGCATCACCAAAAAAAAAAAAAAAAAAATCCAGGTGGGAAAAGCCCAAAAATTGGGAATGAAGGCACGGTGGGAAGGGCTTTGGGGATGCTCTGGTGAGTCCCATTCCCTGGATTCTTCCCCCTCGGATTTCCCTTTGGGAAGTGAAATCCTGCTCCTCCCTCCCCCTGGGTTGGGTTTCTCCTCCTCGGGCATCCCTGAAAAGCCCTGGAATTTTGGGATGTGTGTGTGTGTGTGGGGGGGGAGTTCATTCCCATGAATCCCCCTTTCCCGGGAATTGGGCTTTGCCTCCCTCCCAGAGGAGGAACTCACCTGGTTTTTGGTCGGTGATTAAACATTCCCTGCTCTCCCCAGGGATTCCTGGGAACGTTAAACCTGCCCCAAATCCTATGGGAGCGTTTATTTAGGATTTGTGTCCCTAAAACACCTCCTGGGGGAGGAAAGGGGGGCCCTAAAACCGGGCTTTGAACGTGTCCATCCCTCTTTATCCCAGGAATATTCCAACCCTTTCCCTGCTGCTCCGGGAGGTCCTTTCCCAGAGGTAGATGGTTTTGCATGGATGTGCTCCCAGAATTCCAGCATGTTTTCCCTGGTTTTTATTTTTGCCTTGGCTTTTAATTTTTTGGGCTGACAGGCTTTTGAGGGATTGTTTTTTCCCTCCGATCCTAAAAATTAATCCGCTGCTTTTCAGCGCTTCCTGACGTTCCCCACGGCATTCCAGAGGGGGCTCCTGGCTTTTGGCTTTGCAGGGAATCCTGTGGGGATGATTCCCTAGGAACAGAAATTCCAAGGGCGGGATTTGGAGGAGGGGTTGGATGAGCTGGGGACGATCCGACGCCTGAAAAGTCGGGATCCCGAGCTCCTGCCCGAGGATATTCCCGGTTTTTCGGGGCCTCCCGACCCTCCTGCTGGCAGAGTGGGAAAATATTCCCATTTTTAAGCAGGAAGAGGAGCTGTTTTGCCCTTGCTGGGCCCAAATTCCTCCCCCTGGAACGAGCAGCGTTCCGGGCTCTGGATTTGGGAGTGGGAATGTTTTCCCCCCCCACCCCTTATTTTGGGATAAAAAAATCCCAAATCCCAGCTTAAAAAGAGTCTCTTCCCTCCTGGAATGAACACCTGGAGGGGGGAGGATCCATCCCAAATCCCTCTGGATGCCCAGCAGCTCCCGCTATCCCGGTTTTCAGGCTGATTTCCTTGGATATAGCCAGGGATAACGAGCTGGGAATGATCCTGGGCCTCCGAAATCCAGAGGGATTGCTCCCACAACTGGGAAAATGAGGGGGAAAAGGGGGATTTTGGGCATCACGGCCGGATTGGGGAGAGTTTTTTTTGGTTGGATTTGCTGGTTTTTCTGTTGCCACCTGGATCGGGAATTCTCTTGTTCGGAGGAGGCGTCGGGGGCAGCTCCGGGAACGGCAGCTTTTTGGGAATGATTCCACTTTTTTTCCATGGGGTTTCCCACTTTTCCTTGGGAGTGGCACAAAAGTGCTTTTCCAGCAGGGAAAAACCCCTGGAATTACCATTTTTTTGGGGATATTTTCGCTCTCTGACCTCGACCCGTGACATTCCTGGTGCCCCCAAAGCAGGGATTCCTTGCAGGGAAAAGGGGATAAATCCCTGGGGGAATCCAGCTGATCTTCACTGGGCGGGGATTCCTCCCTGTCCAACAGGAATTGCTTTATTCCCAAACTGGTTTGGAGGGTGGAGGGAAGGAGGGGACCTCCCTACTGGGGGAACTGGTTATACTGGGACCACCCCAACCCCCCCGGCTCGGGGCTTTTCCTTGTCTGGCTCGTCCTGCTTTTATCCCTGCGGATAAAAGATCTTGGGAATTGTTGGGATGCTTTTCCCAGAGCCCTTTGGCCCTGCAGGAGCTGGCAGTGATTCCTGGGAAGGCGGAATTCCCTGGAAAACAGGGAAGGAGGAGGAGTTTTAGCAGGGCCACCCTCCCTAAAAGCGGTTTTAGGACGACGTTCCCGCTGTGCCAGATGGGGGGAATCCAGGCAGGAATGAGGCAGAGCTTTCCCAAAAGCCTCCAAAGCCTTGGAATGGCTCTTTGTAGTGTTTTTTTTTGTTTGTTTTTTTTGGGAATGAGCCCTCCCTGAGTGGGGCTTTTTCCTTTCTCTCCCGGCAGGTTCTTCCACCTTCAAGAAATCCCTCACCCCCGAGGTGAGTCCCTTGCCTGGGAGAATTCCCAATTCCAAAGGGGTTTTCCGCCCTTTTCCCAAGTCAGGGAGTGCTGGGAGGGGGGGGCAGAGGAATCACAAGGATTCACCCTTCCCAAGGAAATTCCCGCTCCAAACCCCCCCAAACTCTTCCCATGGTTCAAATCCCCTGGAATGTCGGGTTTTCCATCCTTGGCTCTTCCCGTTTTTTATTCCCCCCCTCTTTCCCAGATGCCGGGAGGTTCTGGCCAGCCGGGCTCGCAGACCATCAGGAAAGGCCACAGAGGGGTGGATTCCACGGGGGAAACCACCTATAAAAAGGTGATTTTTCCCCTCTTTGTTTCCCCTTTTTAATTCCCCTTTTCCCAAGGGAAGTGTGTCCTGGGGTCGGTGAGGGAGGGGGATTGGGAATGAGTGAAGATTCCCGAAGGGAAAAGACCTTCCTGTGCTTTTGGCTGCTCTGGAGGGAGGGTTGGGATTTCAAACCTCACTTCCAAGGCCTCCCTGGGAACTGCCAGAATTCCTGGAGATCCTATGGAATTTGCTGCACGAAGAAGGGGCTTGTTTTTGGCATTTTAGGGTGGGTGTTTTGTGGATTCCCTTTCCCGGGGGGGGGAACTTCCAGGATGTGGATTAGGCTGGATCCAGGTGTTTTCACAGCTCCTGGGCCGAACCCCCTAATCCAATTTAAACCCTCCTGGAATCCCCCTAATCTGGGTGGAAAACCCCTAATCCATCTGCTGGGATCGGGGTGGGAGGGAGGAGAGGACGGGAGGTGTAAAACTTCCTCCTCCGAGATCTCAGCTCTGGCTTCAACTGGGAGCTCCCTCCCTTGATCCCAATTCCCGGTTTTTCATCCCCCCCTGCCCTTCCCAGACCACCTCGTCGGCCCTGAAGGGCGCCATCCAGCTGGGAATCACGCACACCGTGGGCAGCCTGAGCACCAAGCCCGAGCGGGACGTGCTCATGCAGGACTTCTACGTGGTGGAGAGCATCTTCTTCCCCAGGTGGGTGTCCCCCCTGTCCCCCCCCAGAGCTCTGCTGTCCCCCCGTGGGCCGTGCTGACCCCCGTGGGTGTCCCCTCCCCTCCCCTCCCCCTGGGCAGCGAGGGCAGCAACCTGACCCCAGCCCACCACTACAACGACTTCCGCTTCAAAACCTACGCGCCCGTCGCCTTCCGCTACTTCCGAGAGCTCTTCGGGATCCGGCCCGACGATTACCTGGTGAGTTCTGATGGATTTTGGGGGGCTGGGAGGTGCCTTCCCCTTTC